TTCTTGAGTCTGTCCCACCTGAGTTTGAAAACCATCCCAGGAATATCTTTGAGGCATTGAACACTAATGATCAAAGACCAGATGAGCTGTGAAATTACATCAAGGGCATCATTCACCAGGAAACGAAATGGTCAAAAGATGGATGAGATAGAAGATTACAAGATACTTGAGGGGACAGCATAAACCCCATTTTTTATATAAACCCCCATTAATACCAGAAGCAGAAGTGGGCCATAAAAATTCTTAGCTTAAGGCAAGCACAAATGCGCCGGGTAGAGTCTTAGCTGTCCTTGCAAAGTAAAGAATTAACTAGTGTCTACAGGCAAAGTAGCCAGCCCATCAAAACCGACCCACATGACTGATCCCCTGGCCCACCAACCATGCTCTCAATCTCCCCGCCCCAACAGTAGCACCCAGGAAAGCCTTAAAAAGGATTGCACGGGGTGGGGGTGGTGGGGGTGGTGGACTTTTTCCCTCGCCACCTTCCTACTGAGGGAGAAAGTCTCCACTTGTGGATATTTTCTGGAATAAAGTGCTACTTTGTATTTACATATGTGTGGATTATTCTTTTGAGGGGCATTTCGTGGGCAGAACATGACTCACAGAATTGCACTGGAATATTTATTGAGAGGCCAAACAAAAGAAAGAGCTGCTGAAGTGAGGGAGATGAGCAGAAGATTTCAAAGCACAGCTTTAAAAGACAAAGCAAAGTGTTATGACAATATATGCAAATAGGTAGAAAACAAAAAGGGAAGAACTTGCTCAGCATTCATGAAGCTGCAAGAACTGAAAAACAGATCCAAGAGTCCGGTTACAATACTGAAAGATGCCATGGAAAAATCCTGGATAATCCAGGAAGCATCCAAAGAAGATGGAAGAAATACATTGTCTGTACCAAAAAGAGAACCTTTTCAGGAAGTAGCATTCATATGAGGAAATGAAAAAGGTCATGGTTTGTGTCAGGCGCAACTTAGACCTTCAAGTGACATCTTAGTTGATTAAAATTTTAAAGAGATCTTTTGCAGCAGAAGTACTCAGTGCATTCCATTTGATTTCTTGACTGCTGTTCCATGGGTGTCTTTGTGGATCCAAGTAAAATGAGATCATTAACAACTTCAATTTTTTTTCTCCATGTCTGATGATGCTGTCTAGTAATAGTCCAGTGGTGAGGATTTTTCTTTTCTTTATGTTGAGGGTTAATTCATGTAGAAGTTTATAGTATTCTAGTTTCATAACCAGCTACTTCAAGTCCTCTTTATTTTCAATAGGAAAGATTATGTCACCTGCATATTTCAGGTTGTTGAGTCTTTTGCCAATCCTGATGCCATATTCTTCTTTTTATAGTCCAGGTTCTTGTTTTATTTGCTCAGCACACAGATTGAGTAAGCATGGTGAAAGGTTATAACCCTGACGCATGTATTTCTTGATTTTAAACTTTGCATTTGGTGAGCTCTAGTGGCCTAGTGGCAAGAAGCTGCACTGCAATCCTAGAGGTGCGCAGTTCGAATCCACCAGATGCTCTGCTGAAGGAGGAAAAACTGCCTCCTGTACCAATCAGATCCGATTTGATGGTATACATATAAACAAACAAAGAAACAAAAAACTTTGCATTTGTTGTATTCTTCTTGGTTTATATGCAGTTTGTGAATAAACACAATTAGGCATTTTGGAGTTTCCCTCTTTTTCAATGGTATCCATAATTTTTTTATGATCCACACAATCAAGTGCCTTTAATAGTCAAGAAAACACAGGTAAACATCTTTGTAGTCTTCTCTGATTTGAGCCAAGCTCCATTTCACATCAGAAATGTATCACTCATTTCATGTCCTCTTCTGAATTTGGCTTCGATTTCTGGCAGTTCCTGTTGATGTATTTACTACTGCAACCAATTTTGACCCGTGTTCAGCAAAGCAGTACTTGTGTTTATGTTATTGTTCAATAATTTCTGTATTATATCGTATCACCTTTCCATGAAATAGGCATGAATATGGATCTTTTCCTGTCACTGGCCAGGTAATGTATTCCACATTTCTTGGCAGAGACAGGTGAGCACTTTTTAGGGCTTTAATGTTTACATTTGTATTCCATCAATTCCTGGAACTTGCTTTTGCCAATGCCTTCAGTACTGCTTGAACTTTTTCCTTCACAACCATCAATTCTTAATCCTTTGCCACCTCCTGAAGTGGCTGAAGTTGATACAGTAACTCTGTGCATCCCTTCCATCTTCCTTTGATGCTTCCTATGTTGCTATTTGTTGTTATGTGGTGTTGAGTCGATGCCAACTCATAGCAACCCTATGTACAAACTCTGAATCCTGCTCTATCTTCAGCCAATCTCATTGTCTCTGACACACCTACCTCTATTACTCTAGTCACTAGTCACTGAGTCAATTCATCTTATCTAGGATCTTCCTCTGTTGCACAATCCCTCCACCCTTCCAAGCATGATGTCCCTCTCCAAGGACAGGTCCCTCCTTGCAACATGCCCAAAGGATGTCAGACGAAGCCTCAGAATCCTTGCCTCCAAGGAACAGCTTGGTTTCACCCTCTCCAGGACAGACCTGTTTGTGCTCTTAGCAGTTCCTAGTATATTTAATATTTTTCTTCAGCACCACAATTCAAAGGCATTAATTCTTCTATCATCCTTAGTCATTGCCTAGCTCTCTGATGCCTGGCAAGAAATTGTGAAGACTATGGCCTGTATCAGGTATACCTTGGTCTCTAGACTGACAGCATTACTCTTCATTACACTAGAGAGGTCCCTGACAGCAGATTTTCCCAATGTAATTAGTTTTGTTTTTTTTTTAATTTCCTGGCTGCTGGTACCAAGAGGGTTGATTGTGGAGCCATGCAAGCTGAAGCTGTTAACAATCTCAGTCTCTTCACCATCTATCATGATGCTGCCAGACGGCCCAGTGGTGAGAATCTTTCTTTCTTGACATTTAGCAATCCATATTGGAGGCTGTAGTCATTAACCTTCTGCAGCAAACGCCTCAGGTCCTCCTCACTTGTGACGGATGACATTTCCCATATTGTTCAATGTTTTGGCCATACTGTAGTTGTTGTTAGGTGCTGTCCAGTCTACTGTGACTCATAGAGAGCCTGTGAACAATGGTTCTGAACCTTGCTCGAGCCTGTGCCATCCTGGTCTTCGGTTATTAGTATTTAATCCTTCAAATCTACTTAGGGCAACTTAAAGACATATAAGTGAATTCTGATTAATCAATTTTTTTGTCATAGATAAATATATTCTGATATTTAATTATGAGGATATTAATTTTGCCACTTTAAAGCATGCTGGAACTGAGTCAAAAGAGTTCAATCATGACTGACAGAAATAAGGAAAGCATATGTATTGCTTAGCTACCGAATCTCTTTTTCTTATATGCTGGATTTTTCTGAGTAGGAAATAGGCAACAACATCCAATGCCAAGATGACAGTCAACGATCCCAGAACCCTTTTTGTAGTGACCCTATGCGTCATTACTTACTTGATGACAACTAACAACAACACATTTTTATAGACGCAGACCACCTCTTTCTCCTTACGAGCATTTAGTAGATTTGAACTACTGACTTTTTTAGTTAGCATCCAAATATTTAACCACTGTGCAACAACCAGAGCTCCTTTGTCATTAGTGAGAAAGGAGAAAATAGGAATCACACAGTTGCCTACTCAGATTGTGACAAGGAAAAAACTACGATTTGCTTTCCTCCTCCTGAGTGATTTACAACCTCTGAACACTCACAGCTATGGTCAGTTCACACAACAACAACAACAGTGACTACCCTGGTTTACAGTCCTGGAACCGCAAATGTGTTTACACATTTACAAAAAACTGTACAAAAACTCGATGTGGTTTTGGCCAGAAGAGGGAATATGTTCCATTGTGATGAATGGGTTTGACTTGAGAAGCAACAAACTGATTTTTAATTATTTTTCTCCGTGGGAGGGGGCATGAGTATCATTGGTAAGGAGTAAGCTCTCTGAGAGTGAGAGATGAAAGAGACGTAACGGTATGGGCAAATGAAGGTATAAGAGGGGAAGATATTGAGTGAAATATCTCAATCAAACGAGGACAAATATTGCATAGGGCCACTGTTGTAAAATGGGACTGACATCAGGGTTGAGGGAAGACAGAAAAGGAGGGGAGGAATGAAGTATATTGCACTGAAACAGATGAGGGAGAGAACTGTTTAAAAGGAATATATGATTGGGTATTCTTGTCATGACAGAAGTCCAGAATGAAGGCTGCATAGTGGAGTGGACTTGGGGGAAGGGACTGCATAATAATGAGTTTTCCTTTCTTTTCAAGGAGAAAAGTGAACTAGGGGCGTGGGGATGGGCAGGGAGAAAAGTGCAACAATGAATGAATGGAAACCCTAAGTCTCTGTAAACTTTCATTAAAATTAATTTTAAAAGGGAAGAGGATAATAATATTCTAAGAGATAAGGAAGTCTTAGTAAATTGTTATTTTGTGTTGTTGAGTTGGAGCTGATTCATAGCTGCCCTTCTAGCTGGTTTTCAGGGGCAATAAATCACACTGGAAGAGATTGTTCATTTTCTGAGCCATAGAGTAGCTGATGGATTCAAACCACAAACCTTTGGGTTGGCAATGCAACAGCTTACAACTAAGCCTCCCGAGCTCCCAGTAAGACATGTCTATTCAGCTGTTAAGGCATATTGCCAGATCATTTCTTCCTGTTACTTTTTTTTTTTAAATTTTTGTGTGAATGTGCCGTCAAATCAGATCTGACTGGTACAGGAGGAGATTATCCCTCCTATTCCCAGCAGAGCATCTGGTGGATTCGAACCATGTGCCTCTGGGATTGCAGCTCCTTGCCACTAGGCCACCTGAGCTCCCCCTTCCTGTTACTTTTTCAAAGACCCCTGTTATAATATCTATTTTCTTTCATTGAATTGGTATATAAAATTAGAAAAGAAATACAATATTCTGTATTAAATTAACATGTATATTTTTCTTTTTTTAAAAAAATAGATTATCCAAAGAAATGGACCCTTCTCCTTCCAAAAACTATCCAGTCAAAAAACGAGTGAAAATACATCCCAACACTGTGATGGTGAAATATACTTCCCATTATCCTCAGCCTGGGAGTGACGGATATGAAGAAATCAATGAAGACTATGGAAATTTTATGGAAGAAAATCCCAAGAAAGGTCTCCTGAGCGAGATGAAAAGGAAAGGAAGAACTTTCTTTGGGACCATGGACATCCGACCACCACCAACCGAAGGCCCAGGGACTAGTGAGATTGGGCAATTCCAAAAGTTCGCAGAGAAAAATCTTCTTCAGTCCAGAAAAATGTGGATCGTGCTGTTTGGCTCTGCTCTGGCGCATGGATGTGTGGCTCTCATCACCAGGCTTGTTTCTGATCGTTCTAAAGTCCCGTCTCTTGAACTGATATTCATCCGTTCTGTTTTGCAGATATTTTCTGTGTTGGTTGTATGCTACTACCAGGAGGCCCCGTTTGGACCCACTGGCTACAGATTGCGACTCTTCTTCTACGGTGTGTGCAATGTCATCTCGATCACCTGTGCTTACACATCATTTTCCATCGTCCCTCCCAGCAACGGGACCACAATGTGGAGGGCCACCACCACAGTCTTCAGCGCCGTTCTGGCTTTTTTACTCGTGGATGAGAAAATGGCTTATGTTGACATGGCTACTGTCGCTTGCAGCATCTTGGGCGTGTGTCTTGTCATGATCCCCAACATTGCTGATGAGGAGAATTCCGTGTTAAATGCTTGGAAGGAAGCCTTTGGCTATACTATGACAGTGATGGCTGGCCTGACCACGGCTCTGTCCATGATTGTATACAGATCCATCAGGGAGAAGATTAGCATGTGGACGGCCCTGTTTACCTTTGGCTGGACGGGGACAGTGTGGGGAGTATCGACCATGTTCATTCTTCAAGAACCCATTATCCCACTGGATGGAGAAACGTGGAGTTACCTCATCGCTATATGTGCTTGTTCGACAGCGGCTTTCCTGGGGGTTTATTATGCTTTGGACAAATTCCACCCCGCTTTGGTCAGCACTGTGCAACATCTAGAGATTGTGGTCGCCATGGTCTTGCAGCTTCTAGTCTTACACATATTTCCTAGCATCTATGATGTCTTCGGAGGAGTAATAATTATGATTAGTGTTTTTGTCCTCGCGGGCTATAAACTTTACTGGAGGAATCGAAGAAGGCAGGATTATCAGGAAATACTAGACTCGCCTATTAAGTGAACATCTGATTATCATTATCGTGTTAATGTTCAAACTTTATGTGTATCCTGCAATGTGATGTTTGCCAATAAATGTGTTTTGTGTTGTATAATTGACAGATTGCTATATAATATATGCAGATGAAGAAAGATTTATTCTAGTCTAATATATTCAAATAAAAATGAACATACACAGATGAAAAAAGGATTTATTCGAGTCTAATATATTAAAATACAGATATTAAATACATGAAATGTTATAGAAGTGGTGTCTTTACTGTTATGAACAAAAAAGGTGGGGGGGGGGGGGGTCTGGAGGCCTAAGTGGCAAGAAGCTGCACTGCAATCCCAGAGGTGAGCGGTTTGAATCCACCACATGCTCTGCTGGAGAAGGAGGGACAATCTCCTCTTGTACCAGTCAGGTCCTTTTGATGGTACACACAAAAAAATAACAAAAAAGGCAATTATGGTAAGAGGAAAATGTTGACTTCTATGGAAAGAAAACAGTCCCTTTTGTGGTACAAAAGTGCAAAAAATGGAAACATTTTAGTGTTAGTAATTGATCCACATTTTGTGTGCCACAAAAACTCTTCAAAATTAAAAGAAAATGCTTGATGTGTGAAATATGTATAAGGTGGAATGCTGTATACCAAACCTTGGGTTTGGATAAGGAAATTTGATCAAAACAAGTCAAGAAGAGGTGTCCTAAATTGGAACAAGAAAATGTTCTTTCCCTTCCACATTGTTGTTGTTGTTGTCAGGTGCCATTGAGCCAACTGCCACTGCTCATGGTGACTCTTTGAGCCACAGCTCTGAACCTTGCCCTTACCCCGCACCATGCTCAACATCTCCTACGTGCTGACGGCCATGCATAGAGTCGCTGTGCCAATTCATGGTTGAAGGTCCTCCTCTCTTTCTCTGACCTTCCACTTGCCCCAGCATGACTTTTTCTGAAGACTTGCCTCTCTTGTCAACACGCCCAAGTATGTGAAGCAACATTTTACCATCTTTGCTTCTAAGAAGCACCATGATTAGACTTCCTCAGACAGACTTCTTTATTCTTTGGCAATCCGTGTTTGTCCTTTTTGGCATCACAATTCAAAAGCAGACTTTCCTTACGTTGTCTTTATTTGCTCATTGTTCAGCTTTTCCTAGGAAGCAATAGAAAAAACCATGACTTAGATTTGACCTGACATCCTTGCTTTATAGCAGCTTGGAGAGGTTCTTGACAGTAGATGGTCCTAATGCAAAACATCTTTTGATTTCTTTTTTATTATTATTAAAATGTATTAATTTATTAAAATTTATTAAAAGCCAAATCTTTTTTCCATAATAAACAGAAAACACAGGTGATTGAAAAGATTCAAAGAATAATTCCAAGTTCACTACCAAACTATGTATCACTAAAGGGTACGATATTTTGACACTTAAAGTTAGGAAATGTATACACAACTAGAAGGTAGGACAGAGAAGGAAACCACGTAAACCAAATAAGGCCAGGCCAACCGTTTACATTTTTACAGTCTTTTCATAATTAAGCACATATATTTCTCCATAATCTTTTTGTGAAATTCAGATTGCAGTGTATCATTTACAAATCTTTTGTCTTTCTTCTGATCATCTGCACCTTTCACACAGTTCTTAAACACAACATCATCATACCGTCTTCTTTTTACTTTGAAGTTAGCCTGAGGCTGGGAGGGACCAGTGAGATTAAGAAGTGGGCCTCTACTCGGAATGCTTTTCCATGCGGATTCTCTCTTCTTGGTCATTTTGTTCTTGCTCCTTGCTGACTTGCTCTTCAGCTCTTTCTTTTTCATTTTTTTCTAGTTCCTCAAGAAGAGCTTCATCCTCCTCGTCTGTTAGAGGATCATGTGTCAAGGTTAGCAGCGGGGATCTGATCTAGCCTCGGTTTCTTTGACGCTGAAGAAGAAGTGGGATGTTCTCATGAGGGACAATCTTTGGGTTTTTTTCTCTTGCAGCACCTCTTTCTCTCTCTTCCATCTCTCTCCTGAAGTCCCACTTGCGAACTTCTTCAGGGGCATCCTGAGTTGTTTGTCTGTATTTTATTTTTGTATGTGAGGGTAGGTCTCCGTTTGAACACTGCTTGGAGAGCTGGCTCAGATCACCTTCTCCTTTTCCTCTTTCACCTCCTGCAGGCTCAAAAGCTGGGCTGGCTGCTGTTGTCATGTTGGCCAAGATCTGAAGCAGCAGCCTCTACAGACCATACAAACACCATTATGCCCACCGCCTCCCAGAAGCTTGATTTCTTGCCTGCTGATCCCATAGGTGTTAATTGTGGATCCAAGTAAAAATAAATCATAAATTGACAACATAATTTTTTTCCCTCCACCTATCATGATATTGCCTAGTGGTCCAGTGGTAAGGAATTCTGTTTTCTTGATGCTGAGATGTAATCAGTATTGAAGGCTGTACTCTTTGATCTTCTATAGTATGTGCTTCAAGTCCTCTTGACTTTTTACAAGCAAGATTGTGTCATCTGCATGATGCAGGCTGTTAATGAGTCTTTATCCCGTACCGGTGTCACATTCTTCATAGAGTCTAGCATTTTGAATTATTGGCTCAGTATGCAGATTGAGTTGAGTTGATCTTGTTGTGTGCTGTTGAGTCACAGCTGACCCTCCTGCAGGTTTTCAGGAACTCCACGGGAAAAGATTGACCACCTTCCTCCTGCACAGCAGCTGGTAAACCTGCATGAGGGTGGGCAGCTCAACTTCTTATCTCTACAAGAAAGGACGCACACATTTTCTGATTTTAAACTCTGCCATGTTCTCGTCTATCCAAACAACTGTGAATAGGTTTCACGTGAGCATAATTAAGTGTTCTGGAGTCCTATTATCCTCAATGTTTTCTAGAATTTTTTATGATCATACAGGCAGACAAGCTTGGAAGCAGGAGTGGCTTCCACTTCTGAAATGGCTTGCTTCCGCAAACTCTATGAACAGTGCTCAGGCCTTTCCTTCACAGGGTGGCTATGAGTCGTCTACAACTCAATGGCACCTAACAATAACAACAACTACAACATACAGAGAGCTACATTGGCCTAGTGGACAGAAAGTTATGCTACCAAGCCCAAGGTGGGTGATTTTAATTTGTGGTCCTCAGGCCTGGTTCAATTTTTTTTTTTTTTTGTCAAACATTCTTCTAGGTGGTATAGCACTGGTCTGT